CAACCCCACCTCCCCAACAACCATTAAAGCCATCATCCTGCCCCCCAGCCCTCCGCCCCCCCCCCCCCCCCGTCCTCCGGGCTGGAGCTCCCTGGCGGTCAGTCCGTGGGGGTGAGGGCGCCCCAGACACCTTTAACCCTTTAAGTGCCCAGGCTATCTGTTCGCCACGGGGGAAGAACACCGCCGTGGCTCATCGCCTCTCGTCACCCACCTCCTCCCCCCTACTCTCTCTCTCTCTCTTTTTTACCCACACACACTCAAACACAAACACACATACTCATCTGTCCTTCTGACCGCGTTAACGTTCCCGGAGGCTCAGGTATTTAACTCCCTTTCCTCTGCACGGCCCGGGGAAGTCAGACTGAACGTGGGAGGGGAGGAGGGAGGCATGCTGGGACAGGGTGGTCGGTCGGTGGAATGATTTGATATCATGCTGAGGCGGTATACAAATAAATACATATGAATTAAATATGTATGATATATGCAACCCCAGAAGAGTGAGTGAGTGAGAGAGAAAGAAGCTTGTGTGTGCATCCTCCTCCGCTCTGGATGTCCGGTGCATGTCTGCCTTGGTGACTGCATGAACCTGAACACAACCTGCGATGCAGCAGACGGCATCAGAACTCTGTCGCTGATGTTCGGAGTCGGTCACAGGCACAGATTGTGCTTCAATACGTTCTGAGTATCTCAAAGGTAACGGCTGCTGTGATAGTGTGTTCAGATTGAATGCAAATAGTCACGGATTAAAAAGTCAATGGAAATACACGAGGGACACAAATCAGCTTGGTGCTATGAACTTTTTTAATTATTATTAGAAATTTATTTATTTTCTTACTGTAAAAACCTACATCGTCTTCGTTTCTACCTAAATATTCATAGTAAGAACCCGTTAATAATAACGGTACATTTTGGGATTAACTTCAGTCCGAGCTGAATAATCCGTGCGTACGTTGTACGTCTACGATGTTCAGTACGTCGTAGTGAACGCTAAAGTCTTATCCGGTCGTAAAGTGAAGACTTTTGGCGCCGCTGCTTCTCGTTTCTCGTTCCCAGCTTCACTGGCACAAAGTTCTTCTGCTTCATTTTCTCACATTTCAGGTCGGTCTCCTTTTTCTTCAGCCTCTTTTCCCACAATGCCTTTGGAAAAAAAAAAAAAAAGTACTTTTTATCTCCTATGAAAAGAATCGAGGCGTCTCACACAAATCAGTGGTGTTAATGACTTCACTTTGCACTCAGTCTGAACATTGTAATAGCAAATATAAGTGATGTCATTGTTACGATGCGTTCACGCTGCCAGCCACTAGAAACCTGAGCCAACGTTAACAACCGGCTCTCTTAATAATCAGACGAGTTGTCAGCTTCTATAACTCGTGCAGCAATTACAATTCTTACGTGAAGACGATCAAACGCATGTCGGCTTTATTGGAAGGTGTTAAAAGAATGTGGTCGCTGGCAGTCTGAACGCGGAGTGAACAGTGCTCGAGGAAAACCAACAGCAGCTAAAGTAAACGGAGCAGCGAGCGGGATGGGGAAGGTGCACACGCAAGTTTTTATAGGTGAAGCTTCCAGGAGAATGGATTCAAAGTGATGTACTACTTTGATTAACGTTTCACACCTGTGTTTGTAGTTCACGACTTCAGTCACGGTATCGTCATCTAACACACACATTCATTGAGTTTCTATCTGAATGTGAATTTACAAATCAAGAGCATTAAGAGGACACAACTCAGCAAAAACATTGTTATTCATGCACTGATCAATTCTCATATTTTGGGCTCTTTGGCTTCCATTTCAAGTCTTCTTTCAGACGAGTGGAAAGAACAAAGATGCAAAATACACATTTAGGTGTTTACTGTTACTACTTTGTGTATTTGAGTCTGTCGATTTCTCCTAAATTCACCAAAAGTTACCATTAGATAATGCCTCATTTGCATATTTAACAAAAGCATTACAGAAGCCTTGTCATACATGCATACAATCATCTTAATGTGAGTAAATAACTGGTGAGGTTTCATGGTGGTATCTATGAGTTAATTACTATAACACCTTCCTCACCTGTCGTGTCTCCTCTCACAGCAGCACCAAAGACACATGATGACGGAGGACAGATCATGAACTCCATAAACACGCAGCAAAGAAAGTGAAATTGCTTAATCAAAGTTTAAATATCACTTTTGGCTCAAAGAAAGCCAAACAACAAAACAAGTTGAAAAAAAACAAAATCACTCCACTGCTGCAACCTGCACAGCATGACTCCCTGCACAAACAAGGACGCGTCCTCCTCTCCTTCACTGGTCTCCTCCTCTCACTTTCTTACGTTTCCCCTCTAGGATGCTCTCCCATCATTTCCCTCCTTCCTCTCTCCTCCATTCCTCCCTCTCCACCATCTCTCCTCCTTTGCCTTCTCGCTCCCACCCATCTGCTCCAGGGCTGAGCTACAGTAGGGGTTTGCTTGAAGGGGTGAAGTCTTCACACACACACACCTTTGTAATTCCCCTTTGACGCATGACATTGTTTCAAAGCAGGTACGTCACAGAACCATTGTGTAGAGAGGACGTTTGTTATAGCATGGTCGGCGTGCAATGGCTTCATATTGTTTATGGGTTTTAAAGACGCTTCTGGCTTCTTCATCACTCCAAAAAGAATGAAATACTGACCGGGAGCTGCATGCGGTCGCAGTATCTCCGTGAGAATGCCTCTTTGTCTTTCTATTGACGGTGTGCGTGTATGGGACAAATACACACAAATCCTGGTTTCTTGAGTCCCCCCTCATGACGGCTGTCCTGAGTGTATGCCTGTGTTCTCTAGTGTCAAGAAAACCTGGAACCGACCACTTGTTAAGATTTAACACCTTTTTTTCTCCCCACCCCCCCACCCCCACTGTGCAGATGTGCATGCAAAAGAGCTTTGATAAAAATCTCACTAGATGATTGCAGATCTAATGAGGGCAATTTGTGCTGTAGGCCCGGTCTAATTGATCATTATGCTGTGATAAGATAAGAATCGGTGTAAATGGATGCAGCAATCGAGTTTCCTCCTCCGACCGTGAAGGTAATTCTTCTTAGAGCTGGTAGCACAGCAGAAGACGGCCAGGAGGGACGGAGGGTTTGCACATCCAGAGTCTCAGCCAGGGGGGGCACACATTCACAGAAGTGCTCTTAGTAGAGAGATCGCAAAAAAAGGGTTTTTGATTGTTTGGTGCCGTTCTGATGGAATATAAAAGGAACACCCTGAAATGTTGAAATGCAAAGGGACGAGGTACGAGGCTCAGTTTTATATAACCCACATGATTGTGAGCCGGAACAGGTGACGGAGTATAAAGAGCGGGTCCAAAAACCCAGACTTGAAACCAACGGTCAACACTGAAGTTAACTCCACTTCTCTAGTTATTTGATCCCAAACGATGACTTATTTGTTACGTAACTTCTCTACCTAAATAAAGTCACTTTTGTAGTTAACTTTTACCCAAATGTTGACATACATTGATTTGATAAGTAACTTCTCTACTTAAGTAACGCCACTTCTGTAGTTATTTGAATCCAAACAAGCCATTTAATAGATTGATGACGTCTTTTTAACCACGCTTTGAGTAGGAGACAGGTGTGTAGACATTCCATCCGGTCATCACGGAGACGAGTTATGGCTGTGGGAGGCTACACTATGGGTGTTAGCGGGCGGGGGGGGTGTTTAAGCAGGTTTGTCCATCTTGCTGTCCTTCCTTCTTTGTCTGTCTCTCATGTGGATGTATTTTTCCCTGTTTCTACCCAACCCCCTCTCTCTTGTCTTGTGTCTGTCTTTGTCCGTCTCTCTCTATCAATGTGTGTCTCTGTGTGTGTGTGTCTTTCTTTCTATGTGTGTTCCCCCTCTCCTTCCCTCCTTCCTTCCCTCCTTCCTTCCTCCTCCTTCTCTTCTTCTTCTTCTGTCTGTGTCCCCGTCTTCCTTTCTGTCGCTGTCACTGACTCTCGCTGTCTCCACCTTCGGTGAAACTCAACAGGAGCAGCACCCGGTAAAGTTCTTCCTCTGTCCTCCTCCTCCTCCTCCTCCTCCGCTCTGTCCCCAGCTCTCCACCACCGGATCAAATTGGCTTCTCTCTCTTTCTTTCTTTTGTTCTTCTGTTCATTCGTACTCATCCTCGCCGTATCGTAGCTTGTCTCACTCTTCACCGCTTTAAGTCATCCCAAACTGAAAGTCATCGAAACAACACAACGGTTTTGTTGATGTAGATGATTTGATGCCCACACGTTGGTTTTTTCAGAAGACACTTGATTCCACTTTTGCAAAAGATTAAAGATTCATACATTATCAAAGTGATACTCCACCGATCATCTATCTTTCGGTTAGAGCCCTGAAGGCTTTAAAGGTGGCGGTAAAAACGTTGTTGTCAGTCACCAAAAGTTAGAGCTGTGAGCTTAAATCCATACGCTGCAAATTACTAAACCAGAAATGAAAACTCTGAAGTCTCATTGCTCCCGTGCTGGTTCTCCTTTCTGTTTCTACAAACTCCATCTGCTGCAGTAAAACACTGACTATGGAGAAGAAGCTCGATTCAAAATATCTGAACAGTCCCTTTAAGTCAGTCCAGGTTCAAATAGTTTGAAATAAATTGAATGTATGAAGCTGTGGACTTTTTTCTCTCTCTTCTATTATCAGTCTCCACTGTTTGCATCCATTAGACACAAATCCAAGCTTCCAACACCTGCTGTGCTCAGTGAAGGACAAGAAGCCTTTTACAGCCACCTTATAGTCCAACAGGTGCTCAAACCACAGATATTGTTTTGTGTGGAGTATCCTCTTGATTTGCCATTGAAGGAACACCCTGAAACATCTGTTCGTTAGGAACACTAACCAAACTCATACATTTAGTCGTGAGACTCAAAGAGCTGTTGCGCCGATATCGTTAAGCTAGCGTGTGCGTGCATGTGTGCGTGCATGTGTGTGTGTGTGTAGGGAATGTCTTTGTAAGTCCCTATAACACCAATGGCCCTACTGGGCTTCACTCTTAATTCCTCCCAAGCTGCTCTGATGGAGAGACCTCAGTCCTGCTCAACTTCAGACGGAGGAAGGCCGATTGATAATCGATCGGAGTCTCACTCTCGCACACACATTGCAGACTCGTAGAACTTTCCCGAGGTCTCGGACTCGATCAATCAGCCTCGAATTGAATCGTCTTGCGTTTTTTGGGGTATTTTTGGCCGCGGGAACATAGAGTTCATAGTTAAAGAGCGAGCCTTGATGGACGACCCTTTCTTCTGCTCAGGCTTGGCAAGCATCCAGGCGCCCCCTGCCTTTCTTTTTTTATATTTTTTTTAAATGGCCCATCCTTACAGTAAAGATCAACTCGGCTATTTACTCCCTCGACACCACCATTTTTCCCCCCTAACTGATATTGGTTTATGGGCTCACAAATCATGAGCAGAGTGTTCAGTTATGGGGTTCGCCAGCGCATTAAAACACTCGACAAAGGGAGTTTTGCTTAAGCCCCCCGCGCCCGGTCGCTCTCGTGGCTCGTTTGACACCATTGGTTCAACATGTTTTTTCTGTGTTGTGACATGTACCGAGAGTCTCACATAGCCTCCGTTTCCTCAAGTCTTGCAGTCAGTTTGCAGTCCCGACCCAGAAAATATAATCAGAACACCATTTTCTGAAAATCTGGACTCAATTGAAAGGAAGCTATGTGAAACCAACCAAGATCAGTTCATTTAGTGTTTCCAAATTCAGGATTATATCAAAATAACCCTAGCCATGTAGTTCTTTAAAGTCCACGCTTCATGTTTCCACATCTAAAAAACTCCCCCATTTCCCCCTCCGAAGAACCGAACAGCGTGTTCCGCTGAAAAAGAAAGAAAGAGGTTTGGCCGGGCACTCTGCCGGGAGATGCCTGTTCGATATGGAATGTCTAATGTATCATGGTGAAGATTATAGCAAAAAGAAAGTGATGATGATGATGCTTCTTGATGTCCATGAAACCAAACGGTCAGGAAACTGATTGCTTTTCCCTCCCACGGGTTTCATGTTTGACGTGCACTCAAAAGTTTCTTTTTTTCCTGCAGAAGAAGAGACTGTAAGAGCTTTGATTGTCCACACTGACGCTGTGGACACAAGTGTCACATCATGTTGTTGCTTTCACTGTAGATTGTCACTATAGAAGTTGTGTTTGTTCCATAGTATTAGAGGGTGCTTTAAGAGCCCTTTATGATTGTTCCATATCTTTCCATATCTGACATTCGTTGTTCTCTGGCTGAACTCTAGGGGGAGCAGCAAAGGCAAAGACATCAGTACAATCAAGTCCCTCCGCGTGTTGAGGGTGCTGCGTCCTCTGAAGACCATCAAACGACTCCCCAAGTTAAAGGTAAAAAGGCTCAGCAAGTCCGCCGGTGCATCTGACTGACGTACACCTTCTTCTCACTACTTTTGCAATGCTGTATTTCCTTTTCAAAAGCATGATGGGAAACAAACTCAACTGAGAATAGTTCTTAGTGATGTATTGATGCATTTTCAATCCATCTATAACTAATGAAGACTTTTGTGGGATTAACTCGGCGGCAACCTCCAATACTGAAAAGTGAAGCCAAAGCCAAAGCTGCATCCTCTCTAGTGTCCACCAGGGGGCGACTCCTCTGGTTGTATAGAAGTCTATGAGAAAATGACTCTACTTCTCTCTTGATTTATTACCTCAGTAAACATTGTAAACATGAGTTTATGGTCTCAATCTCTAGTTTCAAGTCTACTTCAATACAGCATGATGTTCATTTAGTACATTATGGTCCATTTAGAGTCACACAGACCATAAAGCAGGGGATGCTTTAGGGCGGGGCTTACAGTGATTGACAGGTCACTACCACGGTGTTGTCCGTGTTTTTACAACTTTAACTCTTTCACAGTGTGTTTTTACTTCATGAAAGTTAACTAACATTTTGGTTGCCTAAAAAATACAAAAAAACACAACAACAACAAAAAAAAACAAGCACGGCTGAAATCCAAGATGGCGACATCCAAAATGCCAAATTTGAGGCTTCAAAACAGCATTCCACAAATGGGTGGGATGGGTGACGTCACAGTGACTGCATCAGCTCTAATTATAACAGTCTATGGGAATAACCACAGAATAAGTGAGCATGCCTTTGATTAAAACGTTGTATGTTTCGTTCTCATAACTGTGGATTTGCCCTCAAAAGGTTTAACAACAGGCCGGAAGTTATCAGAACACCACAGCTGTGACCGTTGATCTATGCATTCGGTATCTTCTGATAAATGAGGTCAAGGGTCACCCAGCCCTTGTGTGTGTGTGTGTTTGCTCATGTCTCCGTCTCTTCCTTCGCAGGCGGTGTTTGACTGCGTGGTCAACTCCCTGAAGAACGTGCTGAACATCTTGATCGTCTACATGCTCTTCATGTTCATCTTCGCCGTGGTGGCCGTGCAGCTCTTCAAAGGCCGATTCTTCTTCTGCACGGACGAATCCAAAGAGTTTGAGCGGGACTGCAGGTTTGTGCCAGAGACAGCAAACTCAAACTCTTTTTAGTTTAAACTAAACACAAATATGTCAGTACGAGCGTATATGTTTTTCTAACAAAAGCACTCCATATTTCAATATTTTCTCATTTGTACCATCTCAGTACCATAATGTTTATTATCAATGATGTATTGCTAGTACTTGTGGTACTTGCAGTGCTGTCTTTTGTCACAGGACGGCACTCTTAATAACTACAATAACTACCAAAGCTGGTGATCATGTAGCGCCACAGATACACTTTGCACATTCTTTTAGAAAACATCTTTCTTTCTTTCAATCGTTTTATTTTCAGTTTATACGGCTTACACGCTAAATGTTACCCTGAAAAAGAATATTACATAACGTAACATAACGGCTAACTATAGACTCACAGACAACAAAGAGAACCACACAAGAAAACAACACAAACACAGATCATCAGCCTCCGTATTATACCTGCCATAACAGTTATATATTAATGAATATTGTGGATTTAACCCTTCGGGGGTCACTTGGATCCCAAAGTTGCAAAACTTCTAATATGATTCCATCATAGTCCTCTCCAGCAAAATCCATAACAGGGTTCCAGACAGAGAAAAACACGTTCATGACTCACGTTTTTGAGCATAAATTACTTGCCTTTGGTCGGTCGTATCAGTTGAGCAGATGCTGCCACCTAGAGGAGTTTGCTGGGAATTTAAATAAATTGTCTTATTCAATGAGAAGCAGTCACTATAATAGACCGGACCAACACTAACCCTCATACTGTCAAACACAAACAGAGATAGACATGTACGGTGTACTGTAGTCTTGATGCTTTTCCATTTCCGTCTGTTTTCACTGATTGATACCTTTTTGTGTGTGTGTGTGTGTGTGTGTGTGTGTGTGTGTGTGTGTGCGTGTGTTTGTGTTCCTTCAGGGGCGAATACCTGGTGTATGAGAGAGATGAGGTTAAAGCTCAGAAGCGGGAGTGGAAGAAGTACGATTTTCACTACGACAACGTGGCTTGGGCCCTGCTCACCCTCTTCACTGTCTCCACTGGAGAGGGGTGGCCGCAGTGAGTGGGACGCTCTCATAAACACTCACACACACACACACACACACACATAATTGTAATTTTATGGGATTTGGTTTCTATGTTTATTAATCATGTAGTGAAAGCATTTCAGTGATCTTCAGACATTTGAATCTGAAAACAAACCAAATACTAATACTTGTGTTATTTCTCTCCTCCTCTCGCAGGGTGTTAAAGCACTCAGTGGACTCCACCTATGAGAATCAGGGCCCTAGCCCGGGTTATAGGATGGAGATGTCCATCTTTTACGTGGTGTACTTCGTTGTCTTCCCCTTCTTCTTCGTAAACATCTTTGTGGCTCTCATCATCATCACCTTCCAGGAACAGGGGGATAAGATGATGGAGGACTACAGTTTAGAAAAGAATGAGGTGAGGAGAGACGCATGGTGTTTGGTCTTTACCTGTAAAGCTTCTTAAAGAAGTACAAAAGTAACGTGACTCTTCTCTCCTATCTCTTCCCCCCCCCCCCCACAGAGAGCCTGTATAGATTTCGCCATCAACGCCAGGCCTCTGACTCGCCACATGCCGAAGAATAAACTGAGCTTCCAGTATCGCATGTGGCAGTTTGTGGTGTCTCCGCCCTTCGAGTACAGCATCATGGCTCTGATTGCACTCAACACCATCGTCCTCATGATGAAGGTACGAGTCCCCGCTGCAGTAAAACATGAGCGGTTTCTCTAAAGGGAAACACTACCACTCTTGTCCACAGGGGCCGCCAAAAAGCAACGTCGTCGTAGCTTTGATGGTGAAGATTTACACAAATCTATCTGCAGAACAAAACCGTTCGTCTTTAAACTCTGCCGTCTCAATTTGGTCTCCAAGAACTGAACACATTCTTAAAGCTGCATTAATCAATATGTTTGTATTAATAGTGGATTCAATAATTATGCATGAAGTGACTCAATAGCAATTTCTCCGAACAGGAAGGGGATGAAAAACTGTCATCTGAGAAGGAACTAAAGCTGTCAGACGAATGTAGTGGAGTAAAAAGCACAATATTTACCTCTGAGATGTAGTGGAGGAAAAGTATACAGTTACATAAAATGGAAATACTCAGTATTAGTACCTCAAATGTGTTCTTAAGTACAGTACTGGAGTTGGTGGAGACCAAAAGCAGAGCTCAGAGAGAGTTCATCTCAAACGGACACTCGCTGTGTTTCCAGTCACGACAGCAAATTCAATACAAAAACTCTCAATTGCGTTTTTTTTTACATTTGTCGTAAAAAGAGAACCTTTGACAAATAAATTCTGACGGTGGCGAACATTTAACTTACATGACTGATCAGCTGTTTCAGGATATACATTGCAAATACTAGCTGACATGGAAGAACTATTAAAACCCTCTCCATTCATTTCTCTCGCAGATGGTTCGATATTTAAATGTGTGCGATGTTTAGCTTTGCTCGTGGAATTATGACAGAAACCATTCATTTCCTACTTTTCCATCTACTTTTACTGTTCTCATCATCGTTTTTTTTTCTTTCCGTGTCTCTAGTTTGACGGTGCATCAAAGACGTACTACGAGGTCCTGAAGAACCTCAACATCGTGTTCACCACCTTCTTCTTCTTGGAATCAGTCCTCAAGGTCATCGCTTTTGGCCCTCTGGTAAGGCCGTGAAGAACCTTGATGCAGACACATTCCTGATCTAAGTTGACCCGGTCCTACATGCTTCAGCATTTCATCCTGTTATTCATTCATGAAGCAGGTTATTTTGGGCAGACAGATCTAGAGCATGTTCCTCCTGTCCCTGAAGAAACCAAGAACATACCGTTGTTTGTCGCCCAGCGGCCACGCGATCAGCCTCCTTTGATTCTGGGGCGTGAGACGCAATCGGCTACCTTTACCGTCTCTCACTTCTCTCTCTCTTTTTCCCCCCAACAGAATTTCTTCAGAGATGCCTGGAACATTTTTGATTTTGTCTCCGTCCTCGGAAGCGTCACTGACATATTAGTGACAGAACTAGGGGTAAGTGCTGTGGAGTGTTTGGACGACGCTTCGCTTGATGGTTGAAACAGGTTCGGCGGACTAGTTGTCAATGTCTAAACCAGCCTTTTCATAGATCTCGCCTTTTATTTTACTTCGCCTGTTGTCAGTTAGTCACCTGATGTATGTGTTGTCCCGTCCACTGGAGTCATAGAGGGACCCGCTGTGTGTAGACGTTTAGAGACGATGCTCAGTGCTAATGAAGATTATAAAATTGCACATTAGGACGATACAAATGTTGTCACTCGTGTCTGACTGTTTCCTCCTCGGGTTACAGTCTGAATGCTAAGCTCTTCTAGCCAGCTACTGTGATCGAGTCGTATCTTTATTGTACAGATATGACAGTGGTCTCGATCTTCTCTTGGCAAGAAAGCAAATATGCGTGTTTCTGAACAGTGTTAACAATTCAACTAACATTTGTTGTACATTTCTGATTCCAAAGAGATTAACAGAGAGACTAACAATAGTTTATTGTGTTATTGTGTGTCTATATAATGTGTGTACATACGTCTATGTCAGGTTTAACTCAGATACATTCGATGTTATTTGATCTGGAACACACACAAACACTCCAAATTTCTCTTTTTGGAGCCAAACCAGTCACACCACTTAATTTCCCGGTTCTGGGTCAGTGTGCTGTTGTGTGTTAACACACTCTTGTGTTTTTCTCACTGTTAACCCTGACTTTGCCACTTGTGTGTCTGTTATTATTCTATACATATGAGCCCAATATGATTATAGATGTAAGAATATTTGTGTAAGTTCAGCCCCTCTCTGTCGTCCATTTACTCTGTATTGTTTTTACCTTTACGTCAAACTGCGAGTTGGATTCTGCGTCCTGGTTTCGGTTATGAACTCATGAAACGTCTCTGACGCGAACTGAAGTTCACTTCTCAATTCACACTGACTTGAGTCACAATCAGTGCGCTTATTACTGCAAAACAACTGTGACTTCAGATGATTGAAGGCGCCCACTGGCCACATTGAACGTTCTCCATCAACGTCCCGGCTGTCTGAAAGGAGACATTAATTGACTTTAGTGGTGTTTTTTACGACAGCGAACTGAACGTTTCAGACATCCCATCGATTCTCTGTCAGCTGGTAGCAGCAAACCTGCTGCTTCAGCACATCGAGTACAAGATGTTGTTAGTATTGGCTAGAAATCACATGTTGACGTTGGCAGATTGTGATTGTGGGCAAAGCCAAAAAAACAGCTGGTTCCATCTTGATACTCCTCTGAGGACTACACTCCCCCAAAACTGAACTAGAAATCTACCAAACAACACCAGTCCCTTTGAGTTTTGCTCCACCGACTGATCGACAATCTGCAAGATAGCCAACAAATCAAATATGGAGAAAAGACGGCTCTGCGAACTTCTAGTGTCGACATTCAACAATAAAGCCAAGCTTTTAATGCTGAAAGACTCTATTTACAAAGCTAGCAGTGTAAGAAAATACCGATACACGCGAGTATCGTGATATTATGTTTTGTGATACTCTCAATTACACCTTATCGATGTTAAATGAAAGGTTCTCGTGCAAAGTTTTGTGGCAGAGCTGTGGTCAGAGAGGGGCTGAACTCACCGTGCCTCACATCGCTCTCTAACTGTTGTTGTCTTGACTTGAACTTTCTAATGACGCCCATAATGATTCCGTCTTCCTCTTCTATCTCTTTACATGCTTTCTTTAAAACACCTCTCTACTTTGTTGGCGCCCTACGCCCCCTCCCCACTCCCTCCTCCTCTGATTAAAAAAAATCCATCCAATCAAAATGCACTATGAAATCCTTCATCGTGTTCTCCATCCGTGCTGCGCCATGCCATGTGGTGGTGGTGCTGTGATGATGATGGTGGTGGTGGTGGTGGTGTGCGTTTCGCCCCATGCCCCCCTCCTCCTCTCCCTGCCCAATAAAACACACGACCAACCCTTCCCCCACCTCCCACCCTCCCGACAAAAAAAAATATCTCTCACCCACTCACAATGTACTTCAACTCACAAAAAAACACATAATTAAAAAAATAAAACCCCTCCCCATTCATCTTTCTACATCTTGGCACATGTAGAATCTGGTTGGTTTGTAATTTATCTCTCAAAGCTTTCTGCTGCATCCTCATTGGTCATGCGTACCCCCCCAACCCATGCCTTACCCCCAGTCACCCACCCCCCCATGACCAGTCTTAACCCTTGACTCCCAGTGCATGTGCTTCCTGGAGGATGACACTTGATGACATAGAGATGATCATTATTAGTGTAAGACATCTTTGCACATACTTTATAAAAACATTTTACATTTTAAGAATAAGCTTAATTCATCCCAACGTTTTCCATCCGGATGTATTAAAGACTAAACTGATTAAACTGCAACAACTTAATAACCTCATGAAGGCGTTTATGTGTGTGTGTGTTGTCATCACAACATTACCAGCTAGTGTTTACCACTCGTGCTCATTTTCAAACACAATCAGAAAAAACTAAAAGAAATCTCATCTCACGGTGAATGTGTGAAACAGAGCTCAGGATGTGCTCAGCCCCACTGGCCCCCTGCTGGTCTGCATGTAGGCCAGTCCTTCCCTCTAAAAAAAGAAAAAGTATGCTGCCATGCCGAACCACGCCTGCACCGAGGCTGCTCGCTAGTCCCTCCCCTCCTCCCTCCTCTCCCTCCTCCATGCTCCTCTTCCTGCCTTGCCTGTCAACCACAAAGAGCCGGGGCCTCAGCAGGGAGTTTGGCTGTTGTACCATCGCATTATTCGTCTCTGTGACGCCGCAAAGAACCGCCAACGAAACTCAGAAGCTCACCGGGCCGAGTCCACGTCGAGGCCGCAGCGCCGCAGTGTTTAAGGGCAGCTTCACACTTGGTCTAGATACCCGAGTCTGTACTTTGTTTCTTCATTGTCTAGCAGTCAGAGTCGTTACACACAAGAGTCACCCCAAACACTTGATAGATTTGGGGACAGGTATCCTTAATTACACTATTCCTCACCTACGTCATCCATCGACACTCTTTATTTAACGTCACCTGACCCGGTCCGTATCCTCGTACAACAGCTCGTATGACGTCTGTCCTCATTTTACTAATTTCAATCAATTTCCGCTCGTTACATGCAGACAGTAACTCTACTTATTTAGGTTTAGGCAACAAAACTGTACTTGGTTAGGTTTAGGAAAAGATTGTTGTTTGGGTTAACATAAAAACGAACAGTGACTACACTACGCAAGTTACGATACAAATGAATCTACATCGACTTCTCGTTTAACACGGAGAACAAACAGCGATCTCCCGGCTGAACGATGGATGTTTGTTGGACCCATCCTTCCTGTGTGTGCTATTGTGGTCTTCATACTTCTAATTTCGTGGGATATCTACGAATGCAGGATGAGACCAGCCTGAAGGCCGCGTAGAGCGTGGTAGTGTGAGGCGCACCGTAGGTCCACTGAGGTTAGAATGGGCTGACAATAACACAACAAAACCTGCAAAGCTTCAAGCCAAGTGTGAAAACGCACCAAGTTTGTCCAACCCTAAAACACAACGGCTGCTGCCCGTCTCTCTGATTTTCAAAAGCCAACTCCCCCAAACATTTTATAGAGTTCGGTGTCACAGACGACCCTAAGCCATGCTCTTTGGGCCACAGTGTGAGTGTGTGTGTGTGTGTGGTTGACAGGCACAGTGCTTTGTGCTCCATCTTGTGTGGCCTGCTTGCCCCCCAGAGATCAGTGCATTTGGTTCTATAAAAAAAAAAGCATTCTGCTGTACCAGATTGGATGATGACCTTTAGAGTCTTTGAATTATGATTTTCCTTATTTCCTCTCTTATTCCTTCTTTCGTCTTTTCTTTTGTCTTTTGACTTTTTCCCTTCTGTCTTTCTCCCATTTATATCTACTAAGAGCCGTTATGTTTGCAGTTGGTTATGATTTATTGGGTTTGATCCCCCCCCCCCCCTCTCTCTTTGACCTCTCTTTCCTCCGCTGTTGTTTTTTGTTTTCTTTGTGTTTGGATAGAGGGAGGTTTGTGCCGCTGTCGTGTGTTTGAACTGACTCGTGTTCTCCGTCTGTAGAATAACTTCATCAACTTGAGCTTCCTGAGGCTGTTCAGAGCGGCTCGCCTCATCAAGCTGCTGAGACAGGGCGAGACCATCCGCATCCTGCTGTGGACCTTCGTCCAGTCCTTCAAGGTATCCGGTCGACGGACAGACACGTGTCTAAAGTACATACAATGGCATATATATATACACACGTATACACTTCCTCTGTCTCCTTCTTCTTCTCTGGTAGGCTCTGCCGTACGTGTGCCTGCTCATCGCCATGCTCTTCTTCATCTACGCCATCATCGGCATGCAGGTGAGTAGCTGCAACTTTCAATTTAGCATTCGATATGTTTTATGTCGGCATGTCACGCTGATTAACTCACAATATATGGACATGACCTCGATCGCTTTTTACCTTCAACAATATATGGATACGACCTTGATGATATTTGACCTGCGGTACATTTTTGATAATATTCATGTCCAAACAAAAGTAATGTTTGGACATGAACTTCTGAGCCCGATATTGCTGGTTGTGTTTACTAAACAGCAGGGTTTAAAGATCATGGGCCTGAGAGTCCAGTTCATTTATTGTTTTGGTTGAGTGGTTTTATTCATTTAGACAATTTTAATATTCTGTCCACAGTCCAATTCTGATGTCAGAATATTCTTGGGACTTAAAGGTGTACTGCTCTTTGAAAGAGTGTACTTGCATAATTATGCCACTATATTATCAATATATCAGGGGCATAAAATGACAATAATATTGTGTACTATTTATATGTTGAATGACTTTTAGGGTCAGTCGGTTTTCTCTGCAGAACAGCTGGAAGAAACGTTCACATCCTTCATCTCAGTAAACGTACCAATACCACAATGTAAAAATACTACATTACCAATAAAAGACCTGTATTCAGAGATGAGATGTAAAGAACTAAAGTACAGAAGTAATACTCAAAACCAAAGGTACTATGGGTACTTAGGCTCCTGTCGGTGTTATACTGCAGATTATAATGCCATTTTACTGAACTGATACAATAACGTGTACACATTTTCATGCTGGAGAATACACAGTAATGTTTGGGTTTGTTGTTGTTGTGGTCGCTTTCTTTCTCCACCGTTTCACGCGTTTAGTTGTTTGGGAACTTGGCTCTGGACGACGACAGCGCCATCAACGAGCACAATAACTTCAGAACCTTCATCATGGCCCTGATGCTGCTGTTCAGGTGAGTCTGAGTCTTGTGTGAGGTTTACACAACGTCATTTTCTGATGTGACGGACGTATTTCGTACGTGTTATTATCTTTCCGGTGAATTCTCGTGTTCCCAAAGCAGCGCTGGGTTTGAGTAGGTGCTGACCACTGATGCCTCTCCATTCAACGCATTCTGCTCTGTCCTGTTTTTCTCCGTGTGTTTGCCGTCGTGCAGGAGCGCTACGGGCGAGGCGTGGCACGACATCATGCTGGCTTGTCTGGGCAGTAAGGAATGTGACCCGGACTCAGGGAACACGGAACCTGAATGTGGCAGCACCTTCGCCTACACCTACTTTGTCTCCTTCATCTTCCTCTGCTCCTTCCTGGTGAGAACAAAAACAACTTCAACCAGTTCAATAATCGATGTGATTTTGTTCTTTTTATTGAATCCAGTTACTTCTCCTTTGTAGAGGATGTGAATCTAACCTATTTGTCACAAAAATACCTTTTAAAAGCTTACTAATGCTCAGCTTCTTTCATTATGCAAACTGCAAAACATTTATTCACAAACACGAATGCGTGAGTGCGAGAGACGTTTTTTTACGCCGTAAAATGACGCAGCCAGCCTGCAGCCAAACCGTCTTCACGTAAGTTTGTGGACCTAAACGGACTCCCTTTGGACAAGTCTGATCCCGTGCATGTCGTGCATTAAAGCAGGACATTGACGGACATGCTGTGTATTTCGCACACTCTCTGTAACAGTGAATAAAGACCTACGCGTTGTTCCTTAATTTCATTCTCTTCTGTCTCGATGTCCAGGTGATGTGATGGTTTTACACTTCAGCGTCTATCTTTATCTTTTTAACCTGCTTTCTCTGCTGAATCAGTCATCAGACATCCTGCATATATCCTTCATATTGTTGACCCTTCTGAAAAAATGTTTCTTCTTCCGTCTAGATTTAGATGATTTTTATGCAGAGTGCAGTTAGTGAGAGTGTAGCTCCACGCTAACGTCGCTCTGACAGCGTTGATGAAGTAGGAGAAGGGGGCGGGGCTTACCCAAAGGTTAATTAAGTGTTTCATTGAGCCAAATTGTTCGTCCTTTCGACTTTACATTGTTGATGTCAAGAAAGGCACAAAACAACGACTTTTGGAGGCTCTGAAAAAGTTTGAAAGATTTAAAAAAAGAAGGAAACGTTTTATTATTTTTGCGTTGAGCTCTTTCACCTCGTCCTCGTTTCCAGATGCTGAATCTGTTCGTGGCCGTCATCATGGACAACTTTGAGTACCTGACCAGAGACTCCTCTATCCTGGGGCCGCATCACCTGGACGAGTATGTAAGGATATGGGCCGAGTACGACCCGGCCGCCTGGTGAGTGGCACACGAAAACAACACCACGCACGTGAAGTAGCAAATATACAAACAGGCGAGCTGCTGTAGACCGATCTTAGATATGTCTGCACACGTTTGACAGTCTTATGCTGAATGTAAACATGTTATCTCTTAACCCTTGACTTTCTCTCCCGTCCCCCCAAAAAATAATGGGGGGAAAAAGAGTTGTGATGTCGTCCGGGAAGAGTGAAACAGGATGGTGTGATGATAGCAGTTTGAAGTGGGTCGGTTAAAGCTGGCCTGAGAATAAAGGGTTATCCAGCTGTCTCTCTGCCTCTCTCTCTCTCTCTCTCTCTCTCTCTCTCTCTCTCTCT